ATCAACCAACTGACCTATGTCGGCAGGAAGCGTAAAAATAAGTAACAAGTACCCCAACATGTAGTTCCAAATAAGAAGGAAACACAGCCAGGTACTTCTAAGTTTATGTTGTACAGCCTTAGAGTAGTATCTTCCAAAACCAAATACACATGTTCTCGTATAGCAATCTATGCAGCATGATAACAAAATAGTAGAGGAATCAAAGAAACCTGATAAGATCCTATTTTTTTATAACACTATGAAGGCGGGGGGTAATGCATTAGATCGGAAGTGTGTAAATTACAATACTGGTTAGAGAACGAGAAGATGGCCTTGTGCTATTTGGTATCCAACCAGCTTCTGTAAATTCCTTTTTTTTTCAGTCTGGGACTGAAAGTTCCATTAGGCGACGAAATTTTATTGTTCCCCTGAGGCAAACTCTAATTTAACTTCGTATGAGAGGACGTTTATCAGATCCAAGACTTCCTAGGGAGCTTCGTTCAGCCATGCAAAGAATCCTAAATTACCAACGACGAATAAAGTAAGCCGTCTACTTCTCAGCCCAGAGTTCTCGATCCTGATGCAGTTGTTAAAGAAAAAAAACGACGTAGGTGTTACATGACAATACACAATGAAAAAAATGTTCTACAATCTGTAATAAGTATGTAAAGTCACAGCGCACTTACATTGTTTCGTGAAAAGTGATAAATGTTAATTATTGTATGTTTCCTTATACGAGAAAGTATTTGTTTTTGTTGTAGAATATCAACACCAAATATGTTGTTAAATGGCCCATTTTGTTAGTTTTTTTATGTTCATATTACAGTTCAAGTTTCGAGGATTATATTTATTGCATTACTCATCTTCAATGGGGTATTTTCGTTTTTAGACAATAAACAGTTTTCATGTAAGAGTGTCTTATGCGTACAAACCTGTTGTACACATGGCTAAAAACAGTAATGGCATTTCAGATGTTGATAGTAAGATCCGGTGGATAACCTGTTTTGCGAGATTAGACGTGGGATTTCCAACACGAACACCATCTGTTTATTTGAAGCATTAAAAACTGTAATAATCAACAATTTCAGTTTTCCATTGACAATAATGAAGAATTATGAAGGCGATTCATGTAAGGCACTAGGTAACTTCGCGTTGCTTTTAGAAGAGTATTGTCTGAATAGACAACAGTTACCTTGTGATTCTTCACCGAGCTGCATTTTTCAAGTTGAAAAATCGGGTGCTGAAAGTGATGGATCTATAGATTTGTGAGAATTTGCTGCTGCTTCAACTTCTTTTTGTAATAACAATAACAGTCTATATGAAATTTAACAATTCTGTTTCTTCTTTGATTTTGAGTCACCCTGTAAATGTAGCTCTACTAAACTATCGGACCGCATTCATAGCCTACAAGAGAAAAAAATCTTCTATACTGGAAAGGAGGAAAAAAAGAATGTATCAACCTGATACATCTGCCCCTCTTTATAACCCGTGAAATAGCCCTAGTTCTAATTAAATTTCAGTTCAAGCTTCCAAAATGACTTCCAACAATATTAAAGTAGCCACAAAGATCAGACCAATGATCCACCGCGAAGTAGCCGATGGTCTAGAGCGTCTTTGGAACGTAAGAGTAAACTGCATATGGGAAGCCGATGAAAGTAGTCGCCATGGAGAGGTTTATATATTCGACCATGTATTTAATCAGGAATGTACAAATTCAGATGTATATGGATCTGTAGTAAAACCTTTAGTCGATTCCTTCATGGAAGGTTTCAATGCCACAATATTTGCATATGGCCAAACATCTTCTGGCAAAACACACACCATTTTGGGCAATAAAACAGATCCTGGGCTTTTCCAATTAGTATCCAATCAGTTATTCCAGCATGTGGCAGACCAGGTTGATAAGAGGTACTTGATTAGATGCAGTTATATTGAAATCTACAATGAAAAGATCAATGACCTCCTGGATAAGAGCAATCAGGGTTTAACTATGAGAAGATATCAAAGGAAATGTGCTGCTTGATGCAAGGGAAGCTGTCGTAGACAATGTTGATAAAGTTATGGAGAACATGATGCAGGGCAATAAGATCAGACGAGTTGCAGCTACTCGCATGAATGAGAGGTCATCTCGATCACACACGATTTTCCGGATTATTCTGGAGTCGAAAGATGCCAATCAGAAAGATGGACCTGTACATATAAGCTACCTTAACTTAATGGACTTAGCTGGTTCTGAGAGAGTTTCTCTGACGAAAGCTGCTGGTGAGCGTCTTAAAGAGGGGGCTAACATAAACAAATCTTTGTCAGTATTAGGAAATGTGATAAGGCAACTAAGCGAGGGGAAGGAGTTTATCAGTTATCGCGATTCGAAATTGACTAGACTGCTCTCACAGGCTCTTGGCGGTAATGCCAAATCATTGATTATCGGGAATGTTACTTTAGCTGCAGAGGAGGAGACTAGATCTACACCAGAATTCGCCCAAAGCACTAAAACTGTCAAAAATAAAACGAAAGTAAACATCTTGTCAGCTACAGAAGAGACACTTCAAGGATATCAGAACTTGACTCGCGATCTCGAAACTCGGCTCAAAAAGCAGGCAATTAAGCTAAAAGAGATGGATAAAAGCAAACAAGAGTATCTGCTCGAGATAGAAAGACTAAAAACGGAAGTATCTATTGTCGGGCGCTTTCAAATGGGAGCCTCGGCATCAACACCGAAAAAAACATTAAGACGTCATACTTTTGGACACTATGGCAACGTATCACCTAAAAAAGCATCCCTAGGGTATATGCCATTGAAAAATTATCCACCCAAAGAAGAATCATCCGGACGTGAAATGAGGCCTATTCAAGAAGAGACATATGAGGAGGCACTAGCCGAAGCAGAATCTGTGATAGCTGAAGACGTGCAAGTGTACTTAAAAGACAACGCAAAGAACTGGAAGAATCTTTCAATGAGCTTAGAGAATTCACTAAACTAGATAATCAGCTGGAGATTTTGGACCTGAAGAAACAGCTCACAGAAGCCAATTCTAAAATCGATCGTTACAGTCAGGAACTCCGCCAAGTAACGGATGCGTACAACGAAGAAATAGAAAGAGTTCAAAAAAATTCTCAAAAAGCGCAAGAATTTCATCGACTTGCAATACAGACTCGATTTTCTGGAAAAAAATAATAAAAAGACTAAAAACATACGAGTCAGAAATAGAGATGCTGCGTACTCAACTGAAGAACCTAGGAAGATCAGAGAGCCCTAAACCATCTCTTGAAGCTCAAAATATTGAGTCAAAAAAGAAGGTTGCAGACTTAGAAGCTATGCTTGACGCTGAGTACGAAGATATGCAAGATTCTTTAAGTGCTGCTACACAAACTGATGTAACGATGTCACACATTGCTGAACTGCAAGATGAAATTGGCTTCCTAAAAGAACTTGAATCTAAACTGAGAAATGACGTAAAGAGTCTGATGGACGAGAGTAACCAACGTGAGGTCAACCACTCATTTAAAATCTCAGATATACGATGCCATAATGATTCTACTATAAAAGAGCTTCAGGATCAAATGGCTGAACTGGAATGCCAAAACGAAATCTGGATTATGAAAAGTGCCCCTCTTTATAACCCGTGAAATAGCCCTAGTTCTAATTAAATTTCAGTTCAAGCTTCCAAAATGACTTCCGACAATATTAAAGTAGCCACAAAGATCAGACCAATGATCCACCGCGAAGTAGCCGATGGTCTAGAGCGTCTTTGGAACGTAAGAGTAAACTGCATATGGGAAGCCGATGAAAGTAGTCGCCATGGAGAGGTTTATATATTCGACCATGTATTTAAGCAGGAATGTACAAATTCAGATGTATATGGATCTGTAGTAAAACCTTTAGTCGATTCCTTCATGGAAGGTTTCATGCCACAATATTTTGCATATGGCCAACATCTTCTGGCAAAACACACACCATTTTGGGCAATAAAACAGATCCTGGGCTTTTCCAATTAGTATCCAATCAGTTATTCCAGCATGTGGCAGACCAGGTTGATAAGAGGTACTTGATTAGATGCAGTTATATTGAAATCTACAATGAAAAGATCAATGACCTCCTGGATAAGAGCAATCAGGGTTTAACTATAAGAGAAGATATCAAAGGAAATGTGCTGCTTGATGCAAGGGAAGCTGTCGTAGACAATGTTGATAAAGTTATGGAGAACATGATGCAGGGCAATAAGATCAGACGAGTTGCAGCTACTCGCATGAATGAGAGGTCATCTCGATCACACACGATTTTCCGGATTATTCTGGAGTCGAAAGATGCCAATCAGAAAGATGGACCTGTACATATAAGCTACCTTAACTTAATGGACTTAGCTGGTTCTGAGAGAGTTTCTCTGACGAAAGCTGCTGGTGAGCGTCTTAAAGAGGGGGCTAACATAAACAAATCTTTGTCAGTATTAGGAAATGTGATAAGGCAACTAAGCGAGGGGAAGGAGTTTATCAGTTATCGCGATTCGATTCGAAATTGACTAGACTGCTCTCACAGGCTCTTGGCGGTAATGCCAAATCATTGATTATCGGGAATGTTACTTTAGCTGCAGAGGAGGAGACTAGATCTACACCAGAATTCGCCCAAAGCACTAAAACTGTCAAAAATAAAACGAAAGTAAACATCTTGTCAGCTACAGAAGAGACACTTCAAGGATATCAGAACTTGACTCGCGATCTCGAAACTCGGCTCAAAAAGCAGGCAATTAAGCTAAAAGAGATGGATAAAAGCAAACAAGAGTATCTGCTCGAGATAGAAAGACTAAAAACGGAAGTATCTATTGTCGGGCGCTTTCAAATGGGAGCCTCGGCATCAACACCGAAAAAAACATTAAGACGTCATACTTTTGGACACTATGGCAACGTATCACCTAAAAAAGCATCCCTAGGGTATATGCCATTGAAAAATTATCCACCCAAAGAAGAATCATCCGGACGTGAAATGAGGCCTATTCAAGAAGAGACATATGAGGAGGCACTAGCCGAAGCAGAATCTGTGATAGCTGAAGACGTGCAAGTGTACTTAAAAGACAACTCAAAGAACTGGAAGAATCTTTCAATGAGCTTAGAGAATTCACTAAACTAGATAATCAGCTGGAGATTTTGGACCTGAAGAAACAGCTCACAGAAGCCAATTCTAAATTCGATCGTTACAGTCAGGAACTCCGCCAAGTAACGGATGCGTACAACGAAGAAATAGAAAGAGTTCAAAAAAATTCTCAAAAAGCGCAAGAATTTCATCGACTTGCAATACAGACTCGATTTTCTGGAAAAAAATAATAAAAAGACTAAAAACATACGAGTCAGAAATAGAGATGCTGCGTACTCAACTGAAGAACCTAGGAAGATCAGAGAGCCCTAAACCATCTCTTGAAGCTCAAAATATTGAGTCAAAAAAGAAGGTTGCAGACTTAGAAGCTATGCTTGACGCTGAGTACGAAGATATGCAACATTCTTTAAGTGCTGCTGCACAAACTGATGTAACGATGTCACACATTGCTGAACTGCAAGATGAAATTGGCTTCCTAAAAGAACTTGAATCTAAACTGAGAAATGACGTAAAGAGTCTGATGGACGAGAGTAACCAACGTGAGGTCAACCACTCATTTAAAATCTCAGATATACGATGCCATAATGATTCTACTATAAAAGAGCTTCAGGATCAAATGGCTGAACTGGAATGCCAAAACGAAATCTGGATTATGAAAAAGGACGACGAAATCAGAAAATTGCAACAACTAATTACAAACCCGAAGCAGGCTGGCACTTAACCAGAACCACCTGTGCAGGAAGACGTTGCATTTTATAGGGAGCAAGTTGAGTTCTCCCAGAACATGTACAAAAATGAGATAATAGGTGGAGAGTTACGTATAAACCATAGAGAAAATCTTCAGGCAGTTAAACTAGAAATATGTCTACCCTTGTTTAGTGTTTACGATTATTGCAGGGTTTGGACAAAGTTTAGGGCTGATCCCAGTGCTCACAGTGTACAATTTTCAGCTAATAAATCTTGAATTCTGAGGTAACAAAATCAACTAGAACTCTGAAAAAGTGATTTATCAGAAATCATGCCCTTACTTCCATGATAAGAGGGATTCGTAAAAATTATAAGCAGGTTGTGGCTTATTATCTAGTAAAAGATACAAGAATCCCATCTGAAAACTGAAAACTGATGTAACGATGTCACACATTGCTGAACTGCAAGATGAAATTGGCTTCCTAAAAGAACTTGAATCTAAACTGAGAAATGACGTAAAGAGTCTGATGGACGAGAGTAACCAACGTGAGGTCAACCACTCATTTAAAATCTCAGATATACGATGCCATAATGATTCTATAAAAGAGCTTCAGGATCAAATGGCTGAACTGGAATGCCAAAACGAAATCTGGATTATGAAAAGTGCCCCTCTTTATAACCCGTGAAATAGCCCTAGTTCTAATTAAATTTCAGTTCAAGCTTCCAAAATGACTTCCGACAATATTAAAGTAGCCACAAAGATCAGACCAATGATCCACCGCGAAGTAGCCGATGGTCTAGAGCGTCTTTGGAACGTAAGAGTAAACTGCATATGGGAAGCCGATGAAAGTAGTCGCCATGGAGAGGTTTATATATTCGACCATGTATTTAAGCAGGAATGTACAAATTCAGATGTATATGGATCTGTAGTAAAACCTTTAGTCGATTCCTTCATGGAAGGTTTCAATGCCACAATATTTGCATATGGCCAAACATCTTCTGGCAAACACACACCATTTTGGGCAATAAAACAGATCCTGGGCTTTTCCAATTAGTATCCAATCAGTTATTCCAGCATGTGGCAGACCAGGTTGATAAGAGGTACTTGATTAGATGCAGTTATATTGAAATCTACAATGAAAAGATCAATGACCTCCTGGATAAGAGCAATCAGGGTTTAACTATAAGAGAAGATATCAAAGGAAATGTGCTGCTTGATGCAAGGGAAGCTGTCGTAGACAATGTTGATAAAGTTATGGAGAACATGATGCAGGGCAATAAGATCAGACGAGTTGCAGCTACTCGCATGAATGAGAGGTCATCTCGATCACACACGATTTTCCGGATTATTCTGGAGTCGAAAGATGCCAATCAGAAAGATGGACCTGTACATATAAGCTACCTTAACTTAATGGACTTAGCTGGTTCTGAGAGAGTTTCTCTGACGAAAGCTGCTGGTGAGCGTCTTAAAGAGGGGGCTAACATAAACAAATCTTTGTCAGTATTAGGAAATGTGATAAGGCAACTAAGCGAGGGGAAGGAGTTTATCAGTTATCGCGATTCGAAATTGACTAGACTGCTCTCACAGGCTCTTGGCGGTAATGCCAAATCATTGATTATCGGGAATGTTACTTTAGCTGCAGAGGAGGAGACTAGATCTACACCAGAATTCGCCCAAAGCACTAAAACTGTCAAAAATAAAACGAAAGTAAACATCTTGTCAGCTACAGAAGAGACACTTCAAGGATATCAGAACTTGACTCGCGATCTCGAAACTCGGCTCAAAAAGCAGGCAATTAAGCTAAAAGAGATGGATAAAAGCAAACAAGAGTATCTGCTCGAGATAGAAAGACTAAAAACGGAAGTATCTATTGTCGGGCGCTTTCAAATGGGAGCCTCGGCATCAACACCGAAAAAAACATTAAGACGTCATACTTTTGGACACTATGGCAACGTATCACCTAAAAAAGCATCCCTAGGGTATATGCCATTGAAAAATTATCCACCCAAAGAAGAATCATCCGGACGTGAAATGAGGCCTATTCAAGAAGAGACATATGAGGAGGCACTAGCCGAAGCAGAATCTGTGATAGCTGAAGACGTGCAAGTGTACTTAAAAGACAACTCAAAGAACTGGAAGAATCTTTCAATGAGCTTAGAGAATTCACTAAACTAGATAATCAGCTGGAGATTTTGGACCTGAAGAAACAGCTCACAGAAGCCAATTCTAAATTCGATCGTTACAGTCAGGAACTCCGCCAAGTAACGGATGCGTACAACGAAGAAATAGAAAGAGTTCAAAAAAATTCTCAAAAGCGCAAGAATTTCATCGACTTGCAATACAGACTCGATTTTCTGGAAAAAAATAATAAAAAGACTAAAAACATACGAGTCAGAAATAGAGATGCTGCGTACTCAACTGAAGAACCTAGGAAGATCAGAGAGCCCTAAACCATCTCTTGAAGCTCAAAATATTGAGTCAAAAAAGAAGGTTGCAGACTTAGAAGCTATGCTTGACGCTGAGTACGAAGATATGCAACATTCTTTAAGTGCTGCTGCACAAACTGATGTAACGATGTCACACATTGCTGAACTGCAAGATGAAATTGGCTTCCTAAAAGAACTTGAATCTAAACTGAGAAATGACGTAAAGAGTCTGATGGACGAGAGTAACCAACGTGAGGTCAACCACTCATTTAAAATCTCAGATATACGATGCCATAATGATTCTACTATAAAAGAGCTTCAGGATCAAATGGCTGAACTGGAATGCCAAAACGAAATCTGGATTATGAAAAAGGACGACGAAATCAGAAAATTGCAACAACTAATTACAAACCCGAAGCAGGCTGGCACTTAACCAGAACCACCTGTGCAGGAAGACGTTGCATTTTATAGGGAGCAAGTTGAGTTCTCCCAGAACATGTACAAAAATGAGATAATAGGTGGAGAGTTACGTATAAACCATAGAGAAAATCTTCAGGCAGTTAAACTAGAAATATGTCTACCCTTGTTTAGTGTTTACGATTATTGCAGGGTTTGGACAAAGTTTAGGGCTGATCCCAGTGCTCACAGTGTACAATTTTCAGCTAATAAATCTTGAATTCTGAGGTAACAAAATCAACTAGAACTCTGAAAAAGTGATTTATCAGAAATCATGCCCTTACTTCCATGATAAGAGGGATTCGTAAAAATTATAAGCAGGTTGTGGCTTATTATCTAGTAAAAGATACAAGAATCCCAGATCTGAAAACGATTATTGTTCATGTGATCACAAACTAGCAGCGACTTGGTTTGTGCGTTGTTGGCACTATTTCTAATCAGGGCGCAACGATCAAAAACGCACTTGAGACGATTTGCTCGGAGAATACTCACGGATCAAGTCCATTCCATTTTATAGTCAATGCTCAGAGTATTTCTACAATTTGTGATGAACCACATTTATTCAAAAATGGATGAAATGCTCTTATTGACATTAATATGAAAGTGAAGAAGCTGCACAGATTGAACATGTCTAGAAATCATATAATGTTGATCAGCAAACAAGACCATACAAAGAGCTATGTAAATTGAAACCCAGCCACTTTGATTTTATAGATTCGTTCAAGAATATAGAAATTAATCCTTTAATGATATCGTCGGATGATTCGAGCTTTCTCAGTTATGTGGTGGGGGTCCCGTGACTTCTCATACGGTATGAGCACGTATACCTCAAACCACAGTTTAATTTAAACATCACAATTGTTGGTTTGTTGACTTTGCGGTCAAATTTGATCCGAGGATGTCAGTTGCGTGTACGATTTGAACTTCCTTCACAATGGATTTTTTCGTTGTTGACGGATGAACAATACACTATAGACTACGCCGAGGACGACGCTGCTATCGATCAACCTGAACAACTTCCTATGGGCGACCTCGCTATGCCTATGGAAAAAACATGTACAATTGGTCAAAACGAGCGCCTGCAACTGGTCGATTATTACGCATTTACCTGAACTAAAGTCCGTGGCAACCAATTTGGAAAATAATAACCCTGTGACTCGAGAAATGCCGATAAATTTCTCCAAATACGTGAAATTTTCGAGACACTCATAGAGAACTGTCGAAATTGTTATATTTCGGGTGAGTCCCCTACAAAATACGAGATGCTCGTGGGCCGATGTCCTTCCTGTGCCTACAAGAAAACTAAACCGAATAAGTATGGACTGATGATGCAAAGACTCACCACTACCTGCTCAATGCTTTCGTCTATACGAACAGAAATATCACAGCAGATGACTGGTTCACGTCAGTAGAATTACATGTAGAATTGCGCATCAACCAACTGACCTATGTCGGCAGGAAGCGTAAAAATAAGTAACAAGTACCCCAACATGTAGTTCCAAATAAGAAGGAAACACAGCCAGGTACTTCTAAGTTTATGTTGTACAGCCTTAGAGTAGTATCTTCCAAAACCAAATACACATGTTCTCGTATAGCAATCTATGCAGCATGATAACAAAAGTAGAGGAATCAAAGAAACCTGATAAGATCCTATATTATTTTATAACACTATGAAGGCGGGGGGTAATGCATTAGATCGGAAGTGTGTAAATTACAATACTGGTTAGAGAACGAGAAGATGGCCTTGTGCTATTTGGTATCCAACCAGCTTCTGTAAATTCCTTTTTTTTCAGTCTGGGACTGAAAGTTCCATTAGGCGACGAAATTTTATTGTTCCCCTGAGGCAAACTCTAATTTAACTTCGTATGAGAGGACGTTTATCAGATCCAAGACTTCCTAGGGAGCTTCGTTCAGCCATGCAAAGAATCCTAAATTACCAACGACGAATAAAGTAAGCCGTCTACTTCTCAGCCCAGAGTTCTCGATCCTGATGCAGTTGTTAAAGAAAAAAAACGACGTAGGTGTTACATGACAATACACAATGAAAAAAATGTTCTACAATCTGTAATAAGTATGTAAAGTCACAGCGCACTTACATTGTTTCGTGAAAAGTGATAAATGTTAATTATTGTATGTTTCCTTATACGAGAAAGTATTTGTTTTTGTTGTAGAATATCAACACCAAATATGTTGTTAAATGGCCCATTTTGTTAGTTTTTTTATGTTCATATTACAGTTCAAGTTTCGAGGATTATATTTATTGCATTACTCATCTTCAATGGGGTATTTTCGTTTTTAGACAATAAACAGTTTTCATGTAAGAGTGTCTTATGCGTACAAACCTGTTGTACACATGGCTAAAAACAGTAATGGCATTTCAGATGTTGATAGTAAGATCCGGTGGATAACCTGTTTTGCGAGATTAGACGTGGGATTTCCAACACGAACACCATCTGTTTATTTGAAGCATTAAAAACTGTAATAATCAACAATTTCAGTTTTCCATTGACAATAATGAAGAATTATGAAGGCGATTCATGTAAGGCACTAGGTAACTTCGCGTTGCTTTTAGAAGAGTATTGTCTGAATAGACAACAGTTACCTTGTGATTCTTCACCGAGCTGCATTTTTCAAGTTGAAAAATCGGGTGCTGAAAGTGATGGATCTATAGATTTGTGAGAATTTGCTGCTGCTTCAACTTCTTTTTGTAATAACAATAACAGTCTATATGAAATTTAACAATTCTGTTTCTTCTTTGATTTTGAGTCACCCTGTAAATGTAGCTCTACTAAACTATCGGACCGCATTCATAGCCTACAAGAGAAAAAAATCTTCTATACTGGAAAGGAGGAAAAAAAGAATGTATCAACCTGATACATCTGCCCCTCTTTATAACCCGTGAAATAGCCCTAGTTCTAATTAAATTTCAGTTCAAGCTTCCAAAATGACTTCCAACAATATTAAAGTAGCCACAAAGATCAGACCAATGATCCACCGCGAAGTAGCCGATGGTCTAGAGCGTCTTTGGAACGTAAGAGTAAACTGCATATGGGAAGCCGATGAAAGTAGTCGCCATGGAGAGGTTTATATATTCGACCATGTATTTAATCAGGAATGTACA